CGGCGGGGCCCGGTGGGTCTGGGGGAGTGGAGCTGCGATCCTCCCCCAGATAAACTGACTATTACCATAAAAATGACCCTTTATCCTATAAGATGAGGCTGTGGGAACGCCTGCACTCGATCGCTTTCTCCGTTGTTGAATTGACTTGTGTGTTTCCCACTAACTGGCGCCCTAAAACGTGGAGTTTTATGTGCTGCTAATTGTAACATAACCTGATAGGACTTGGGGTCTGAGCTCTCCTTCTCACTGCTCCAAAGCCCTGGGGGAAGCAGCAGCCTACAGGAATCTTTACTTTGGTCTCAGACTTAGTGTGTTCATGTGTGCGTGTTTTGCTTCACATCAGTACCCGACTCCCTAAATATAAATGAAAACTGCAAAGACTGGTAGAGCCAGAGGAGCCATCCGTGTTTGCGTGGTGGCTGGAAGTGCCCTCTCGTCTTTTAAGGTCAAGTTGTAGCACTCCCTTACTTTTGACCCCCCCCGCCTCCCCCCCCAAAAAAAGGGCTATTTGAGATAATATTTTTGGCCCAAGCTTTTGCTCAAGGGTGTAAAAATGTAGGTGCAGACTTGGATGCTGGATGTGCTCCCTCATCCCCACCCTGTTTAGAGTTACTAAGCAAGTTTCTCATTTCTGTGTGTGATCTATAAAGCCTTTCCGTCCTGTCAATGAGCTTCTGATCTTCTGGAAATTCGAGAGGGACTTGGGGAAAAGCCAGGCCACCATCAGATGGAGAATGAAAGAAAGAAAACCCTCCTCAGCCCTGTTTCGTTCCTCTGTCACGTTGGCTGGTTGTTTGTCAGCCTGGTGACACAGTGATGCTCATCCCTGCTCTTGTGCTTGAGCAGAGTGGGATTTCTCTGGTCTGCTGTTGGTAGCCACTAGGTAAGTGTGGAGCAATGTGCAACATCCGAGGCTCGACCTCCCCTGGCGAGTGTAACTTACAGCTGCTTAGGAAATCCACCAATGCTGCAAATTTAGAATGGATAATTGAATGATATTTAGTCAAACAAGCTCCAGTTTTTCCAAGCTGGCTTAAACCATGGACGTTGTGACAATCGTTTTGCATGGGAATCACCTTTAGATTCAGTATTTAATACTAGATTCCTTTAGATTTCCAGTATTTAATACTAGAGACCTGTATGTGCCGCAGTGCCTGTTTATTTCTATTTTAAATCTAGGGAGAGCTGGTCCTGACTTTTACAGGGTCCAGGGACAGACCCGTGGAATAGTTTTAAGTACCAAAAAGAGGAACAGGCAGCTTGTAAATTTACAAGATCAAAGATAATAAACGCAGCTCTAATGGGCTAGGAATTAACATATGATAATAGGCCTGTCAGTTTGACATTAATTTCAAGCAAAATAACAAACGTCAATAGAGGTTTTGATTAATAAAGGTTAATAGCACAGTAATTTAATAGCAATTAAATAGCAATTAACCCAGAGATCTTCATGGGAAAAACTAGCACTTGTCAGATGACATGTATTTATACTACACTTTTAGCTGATAGTGGTTGTAGCGCTGCACTGTGGTGCAGTTAAATGTCTGTTTAGCTTAGTATGACATTTTGTCTGCTGACTTAGCACAATATTTTCATTAAGAAATCAGAGCAGTCCAAAAGCTGTATGATTCTTTTTTTCTGATAGGTTAAAAGGGTAAATGACGATTCTTCAACACAGTTAAATTTTGCAGCATCAAGCTTTTTGCACCCTTGTATTTATTTATTCCAAGATGCAAGAGAAACTGTTGATACAGTTATTAAAAGTTCACTGGTAGCAGAATGGTAAGTAATGATGTAGTTGTATTTCCACGAATGGTTTATGGTAAGGAGCAGCCTAAGCTCTCTTAAGAGAACTACAGAATAGTTGGCAGTTTGATAAAGGGTATTTTGCTGCATCAGTGGGTAATATTTAGAAGATCATATTGCATAATGCTCCTAGGGACTTAAAATACCTCTTGGCTAACCCCATTTCCATTAAAATTTTAATCTGATTTTTACTGCAGGGCAACCACCTACACACAGGCAGGAGCTATTTCATGGCCAGGGTCTCTGTGTGTGCTCAGTAACAGACTCTACCCTTAGGTTGTGGAATGGGGGAAGTTGAGCAGAGCCTCAGTGGTGGCGTGCAGGGTAGTGCTGCCTTGTGCTGTGCTTGTGCCTGTGTGTCACCAGGGAGAGCTGCGAGCGACTTCCTAGCGGAGGTTTCTTTCCTCTCTCAGATTCCTTTGTCAGGAGCCGGAGACGCAGACGCTCCTCGTTCTGTCCCAGCTGCCCTGTGGCAGCTTCTACTTGGAAGCTTCTCAGGGAGCTTCCCAGTGTCTTTCCCTCTTGCTCCTATATGAAACACTTTAACCTTCTACTTTCTGAAACTTTCATTTTTAAATCCTTTTTTGTTGTTGTTGTTTTGTTTTCTGATTGGGGGCAATGTTTGATTAGTAAAAACAATTTTTTAGACAGATGCTGAAGAAGTGACTGCTGGTAGTTGTTTGATAAAAGTCACCTGTGATGCCTTTCAGATTATTTCACCTGCATGGGTATGTTTAAATAAGCATGGTTTCTGTACCTTAAGATGGTGGGATGCTGCTCTGTTGCCCGCCTGCCCTCTTGGGTTGTTTCTGAGCAGGCTCCAGTTAAAAGGTGCCGATGTGCCTGGTGGTGGCAGCTGCCGCGGGCTGTGGTTCTCACTAGCGGGCGGGAGGTGTGTGAGCAGGCAGCCCCGTTTCCCTGCAGGAGTTTAGTGTAGAACCAAGAGGCAAACCCTCAGCCCTTGCAAACACAGGGCTCGGAAGGGAGACGATGACAGAGCTCCCTGGAGGGAGGTCGCACCTCACGTAGCCTAACCCTGCCCGTCAGGGGCAGGTGCTGGAGGTTTCCAGGCAAAGCGGAGCTGCTCTCCGAGCCGTGCGCTGGGCCTGCTCTCCCGCTGCCGCAGCGCTGCCCTCGCTGTTGCAGCTGTTCTGCCCGCTGCTTTCGTCTCTCTGAACTGCTGCATCAGAGCACAGTCTCAAACATCCTGTTCCTCTCTTTGTAACACCTAAAACCCGACTAGTTTTCCCTTTTTCTTTGCTCCATCCACACAGCTGAGAATCTGAACATCCTTTTTCATCAGCCTGTGCCCTGATCTCCGCTGCCTCCTTCCTTCAGCCTGTGGCAAAGGTAGCTGCTCTTTGCCACTCCGGAAGGCTGCTCTGCCCTGCACAGGGTGTTGTGGCATTTTGCTCTAACCTTGTCACTTCTCATGTCAAGTCCTTCCTTGGCTCCCTCTTACCCATTGCCATAGTTCTCAACTGGTTTATGCCGACAAGCCCTTGAACATTTACCGGGGAAGCTCTCTACTCTGTGCAGTGAGTCAAGGTCTTTCTAACACTCCACCTGCTTCTGGCAGTTACTTTTCACACTCACTTGGACACCTGCCGTAGCTTCAGAATCACTGCTCTGCTGCGTCAGGTACACCCTACCTGGCCTCACACTCGAGGTCCTTTGCAGCCTTTCTGCATCCCTGCTCATCATTTCTCCTTCTCCTTTGCTGATGCGTAGCCCTGCTCGGTGCATATTGTTAAACAGCACCGAGGCATCGCGTCTCAAGCTCAAGGAACAGCTCAAAACCCGGAGCATTTTCCATCTGCCAGTGTCTTGTGGTGTTAGTTTGACTACCACTACAGCTGGAGGTCAGTAGGTCGGTCTTGGACCAAAGGGAGTTGGGGGTTCAGAGGAGCACACATAGTGCCATCTGCATTAGAAAACTCTTGGCTTTCTTTACAAAATCCTGTTGTTTGTCAAATGCTGAATGTTGCCCTGCTTCTTTTTCAGTACCAAAGAAATGTCAGAAGGCTCGTGAACACTTTGGTACAGTCAGAACCCAGCTGGCATCTCTGAAGACCAAGTTTCCTGCTGACCAGTACTACAGGTGTGCAGGATCACACACGGCCAGACACAGAGTTGAGATGGCCTAACTTTGCAGGAGTGATTTAAAGGTTTATGGGCCTTGGATGCTAAAAATGTGCACCTTTCTGTTCCAAAAAGTAACCCATGATAGAAAAGTCTGACTTTTTATCAGCACACTTTGAAAATGCTCTAGTTCAAAGGTTTCTCTTTTTTTTTCACTGAAATGTCTAGTATTTAATTCTTTTCCTAGAAACTTAAAAAAAATGTAAATTAAATATTAAGAAACCGATGCTGTACTAGAGCAGCCCTTGTTTCTAGGAGCAGAGCGTTTTTCTATTCCATTAATTTCAATTAAGTTGTTAGGATTTGAGCATTTCTGAAAACAGAGCCCTAAATCTGTCATCAGATGGCTGCTTGATACTGTGGATTCTAAATGAAGTTGTCGTCTTTGCATTTTGCTTGCTGCCAGAAGGGGACAGTGTCTAGCAGGAACACTGCAAGGAATGGGGATCTTGTCAGCTGTAATCTGGCAGGGGAAGGGAGGGAAGCTGCTGATCCTCTCCTTTGGTGGGCACGACAACCCCAACAACTCCAGGAACAGGGTATGTGTGTGTGAGGTGAAAGCAAATGCTAGTTTAACATAATATCCTAGGGCCTGAAGTTTGGGAGCACCAAGTTACAGAGCACTGTGATTTTTCACCTGAAAGCTGGTGTGTTTTTGACAAACGACAGAGACCTGGAGGTACTATGAGTAAAGTAAAGGTACAAAACGTAATGTGTACGGGAGATATTTAAAATGCTTTTAACTCAAATTTCCAGTAACTGATGTTGCCTATTTTTACCTTGACTTGGTGCCTTCTTCTACAGATTTCATGAGCACTGGAGGTTTGTGCTGCAGCGGTTGGTGTTTCTGGCAGCATTTGTTGTCTACTTGGAAGCAGAAACATTAGTGACCCGAGAAGCTGTTGCAGAAATACTTGGGAGTAAGTTAATTTTGTAAATCAAAGGGAAAAGCTTGTGACGTCTTTAGATGTTGATGCTGCAAGATGCAAGAAAATAACAGAAGTTTATATCTTCCCAAAAAATAGTTTATTATGTTTATCCGGTATTTGATTTCATTATGTGATAATTAAAAAATATTTTAGAGGGTGGAAATCAGAAAGTATGATATAAACAAAAGTATTATCCAAGTTCTTAATGAATGAAGATTATTTAAATTGCCTAAGTCTTCCAAAAGAATAATACGAAGGTGACAGCTTATTTTTCTCACCTTTTTTTTTGCAGTGTTAAACAGGTAGGGAAACGAGATCTCATTCTCGGGTTGTAAAACAACTATCTGCTGAAAGCAAAAAAAAGAAAAAAAATAGTCAAATATTTTTTAAAAAGGATTTCAGACCTCTCTGCTGTATATTAATGCAAATTCAGTTATTCTTTTAGATCAGTTATAACCTATTGTGTGTCCAGTTAAGGATGTATTAGATGTTCAGTCAAAATGCTGAGAACAGTAATTACATCACATACAGGAAAAGGCTGACTTTTATTTTGTAATAGCATTTCATAAATCTGATATTTCCAATTAGCTACAGTAAACAAATGCAATTTCAGCTCGCTGGTTTTGATCATGCTCAGTATCAGACTCTGTTTTTTATCTTAGTTGAAGCTGATCGAGAGAGAGGCTTTCATCTGGACATAGAAGACTATCTTTCTGGTGTGTTAACTCTTGCCAGTGAGCTGGTAAGGAAACTCTTTGTGCATGTGTCTGAATAAAACTGACCTAAATAAGCAGCAGGTAGTGCATTTCCAAAATGCCTCAAGTTGTTCCCGGAAGTTCCGGTGTGTTGTGCTTGGGTCTTAACCTCTGGGACACTGCCCTTGCCCTGATGTTACATTAGGCTCATTCCTCATTGAGATCCTAAGATTTGAACCAGCCACTTCACTGAAAATCCAGGGCTCTGGTGAACAGAAAGTTAGTTCTGAGTATAATCAGCCTGACTCCTGCAATGATATTGCTTCATTTTGTAAAGTACCTGCTGGGAATACTGATGTGGTTTGGGTGGATTCCTCTGCTGATCTGTGCATCTTCCCCTTGCAGGCCAGGCTGGCAGTGAACAGCGTCACGGCCGGCGACTACTCGCGCCCTCTGCGCATCTCCACTTTTATCAACGAGCTGGATTCTGGCTTCCGTCTCCTCAACCTGAAAAACGACTCCCTGCGGAAGCGCTACGATGGCCTCAAGTACGATGTCAAGAAAATTGAGGAAGTGGTTTACGACTTGTCGATCAGAGGACTCAATAAGGAGGCCACGGGCGGTGTTGGTGGTGAGAAATGAAGGATGCTCGTGGCATCATTGATTACCTCAGATGGTTGCCAATTTCGGAGGCATGTTAGCAAAACCCTCCTGCAGTAGTTTAGAAGAACTGCAGCTGAAAGCTGCTCTCTATTTTCTTACAAAATGTGTAGTACGGGTGTTAGATCTCCAAATGTTTTGTAAAATCATGCTTAGGTTAGGACAAAAGGCTCTTTTTGGTGAAATTCCTCTGTCAAAACACATTGCTGCTCTGCGCCCAGCAGCACTAGCTCTCGCTAACTCTCATAAGCTGAAATCCTCGTTACTTCCATAGTGCTGCTTCACGGCTCTGACAGTGATGTGTTTCAACCATTTCTCCTCACACTCCTTTGAGGATGTGTGCAAATACACGTGACATTTTAAGAAACACAGCGTGTAAATACCTAGACATTTTCATAAGACACGGATTATTTTTTGCCTTTTTTTCTTAAATTTTCATCTACTTTAATAAGTTGAAAGGAAAAAATTTGAATAGCTGTTTATTACTGAGATCTTTTAAAATGGTTTCAGTTAATGTATCAAAAACCCTTTTTTGAGAAATCAGTGAAAAAAAAATCCTGAATTTTGTCTGTTGGAACTGGCATATTGCACCCAGGCATGCATATATATATATATACATACCTATACATATATGCATGCACAAATCTCTGTCGTTCTCTCTCTTTTTCTCATTTTTCTCTTTTTCACTCTTTACATGGGAATTTTGTTACCAGGGAGAGCTTTTTTTGTTTTGTTTTGTTTTTCAAACACCTGCCTTCACTGGCTGGCATTTGTTTTAAAGACATGAGTAAATGTTGAATTTCAGAATGATCATTTACCTTGAGAACTCTGTCTTCTCAAAATTTCTTTTGAACTACCAAAGTTTCCAATAGCGAAGAGTTAGCTGATAAACTGCAGGTAGTGTTTGAGTCCTGAAAGCCTAAATAGACCACAACTTCACCTGTTTCTGGGGATTACAAAAAAAAAGTTAATGTAGTAAAATGTATGTATCTCAGAAAATGGGAAGCTTAGTTTTAGATAGTTTGCATGTAGTATTTTTTCAGACACGAACAGACTCTTCCATTTGTGTAAATGGACACATTCTTACCTCCTAGTGTGTTTGTTCTTGTGTCCTACAGGATTTTCTGATTTTGAATTTTCCCCTTCTTTTCTGTGTGGTCCCGTAGGATTAAGAAGAAAAACTAACTTTGAGATAAGGAATATTTCTAAAAGATGAATATGAACAATCAAAGTTATGTGGGGTTTGTTTGTGTTTCATTTTGTTGGCAAAGATTTCCCATTGTTTCGGTTAGTATTTTTTTATTAGAAGAAAATGGTTTCTTGGTTACTTTGGCCAATAAAAACTGTTCTGTGTTTTTGGCCATTTGGTAATTCTGCCTCTCATCTGATTATTTGCTGCTGCTGTTTGTTTCCCCTCCTGGGAGCCTAATCTGAAATCCCATAATTCAGATTCAGTCCTCAAATATATTTGGACTGTAATGTAATTCCTCACATAAAAGCTGCTAAATGGAACACTTTTATCAGCTGGCAACTGGAACATAAGTCAAGCTGTAAACAGATTTCATAGTGTTTTTTTTTTTTTTTTTTTTTTTAAACTGCAGGGTATTTTACCAAGTTAAACAGGAGAGCTCTGGAAATGGTTATTGCCACATCAAAGATGTGGCAAGGCTCTTCAGAGGTCTCCAGACAGCTGTTGCCCGCGTGACATCCGAGCATCTCGTACTATTTAATGTTTGTCCCTCATATCTTTTTCACATAACACAAGGAGATACTAACACACTATTTCCACAGCTGAAGAAAACGAGGGTGTAACTGCTGGTGACACCAGCTTTAAAAGTAGCTCTTTGTTTTTACCCAATGCCACTATTTGCTTCTTTTTTACCCAATGCCACTATTTGCTTCTTTTTCACTTGTACCCAGTTGAGGTGGGAAGAAGCGGGGAGCTTGAGCCAGACACTCATGAAACATTTGAAGGCTCCAAGACGTGGCCTCTCTGGCCAAGGTCACAGAGGAAACGTGTGGGAGAGAGGAATTAGGCAGAGGTTTCCTGAGCATCCGCCTCACGTCCCAGGTGCGAGGGCTCCTGGCACGTAGGACGGGGAGGTCAGGCCGCCAGGCAGGGCAGGTCTCTGGCTGCAGGGACGGTGCCTGCTGAGGCGTTGGGCCGGTTTGTGCCCCGGGTGCTGTGGTTGCCCTGGGTCCTGCAGCAGGTCTTTTTCCTGACCTGGGATCCTGTGTGCCAAACGCAGCTTCTCAGCAGGTCCTATATCTGCTGTGTGTTTCATCGGATGTGGTTTCATGGAGGTAGTGAGAGACAACAGCTGCAGATGTGGCTGCTGTGGGAGGCAAGCGCAAGAGCAAGTCTCTTACCTGTCAGGTGTGCAAGTTGGGGCGTCCTTCAGTCCAAGGCCTGTGAAGAACAAGTGCCCAAGGATACGTCCCAGTGTTGTGCTGCATTCTTGGATCATCTTTAGAAAAGACCTCTTCCTTCCTAAGTTTTGGGACAGCCTGGCATGTTCCTCTGGGAAAAGATTACTTGCAAGAGAAAAGCTGCGTACTGTATTCCAAAGTCATGTCTGGGGATGGGAAGAGGGAGCAACAAACTTTCCTCCTAGTCTGCAACAGGGGAAAGCTGGGAAACGCATTGCTCTTTTTGCAGTTTCTCCTGCACGGCGATGGCTTTTGGTTGTGGCTGCAGCAAGTGCCTCTCCTGACTACAGGAGTAGTTGAAGCGCTTTAGCCAGTGGGGAATGGGACGAGATGGAGCTCTGGGGGGTGAGGACTGCTCCTGATGGGTCAGATGCACTCAAACCTCGGCACAAAGAGCTCCTGCTCAGCGTGACCAGCCGTGCGGCATGCGCGGGGGCTGTGAGGGGAGTGAGTCAGTGCAGGGGCGCTGGGAAGTGACTCAGTGGCCAGCACGGCTATTCTCTGCAGCACTTCAGCCTGAAGTGTGTGCCAGGGAGGGCTCTTCTGGGTCATCTTGGCGCTCCTTCTCTGCTTTTTCCCCGACCTTGACGTCATTTCTGTGCATTCTCTTTGCTTCAGTAAAAAGGGCACTTAAACAGTTGATTAACTGTTCTTTATTTATAGCACTGTATGTTCCTCCACGGCAGATCAATGGAAGTGCTGACCTGGAACCGTCCAGGAAGCTGGGCTGAATAGGGCTGCATCGCGCAGGATGCGGGGCAGGCTTTGAGGCTGGCTGCTTAACCAGACCCTGTCTAGGAGCACTGCTAAACTGTAGCCCTACTCCAGCAAACTCTGTAAGCTGGCATCTGCTAAAGGACATGTTATCACTTCTAGACAGCCCTTCTCTGGTGCCAGCACAAGCCTTTGTGCAGAGAACGGGATCAAAGAACTGATCTAGCTGAAATGATCTTTACTTTTCAGGCGGATTTGTTCCCAATGTGGTTCACTGCACAGTGCTGCACACTCCGTGCCAGTACATGGAGGGAGGCTCTTTCCTCTCCAGGCAGCACTGGCTTAAAGTATTCACCAAGCTGTAACACCACATGGTAAATTGTCTGATTTTCCTGCAATAATTTAAGTACTTCCTGTGCTGTTAGGATTGCCAAGCATGGTCGTTCTGGGCAGGTAACCTGTCTTCCTTTTACTGCAAGGTGATGACTCCTGTGCTGTAGAGCATCACTCCCCTTTCAGCTGGGAAGGTCACTGTGCACCAAAGCGATTAACAGGAGGACACAGAATCACCGAATGGTTGAGGTTGGCAGGGACCTCTAGAGATCATCTAGTCCAACCCCCCTGCTCCAGCAGGGACACCCAGAGCACGGGCCACAGGGTGGCATCCAGGCGGGTTTTGAAGAGCCTCAGAGTACTGATCCCTGGGGGGCACCACTGGCCACAGGCCTCCCACTAGACTCGAGCAGAGAGTAAACATGGTGTCACCCGGGGGCCGCACGCAGTTGCAGATGCTGGTAGGTCCTCACTAGTCCACCTTTCCACCTTCCTCACTAATGTGCTGCCTATTGATGGGTACGGTGGGGTAACAAGGTCCAGAGGTGTGAGAGCTGTTCAGAGATCTGAGCAGCCTGTTGAATTCCTCCCTGGCTTCCCTCTCTCATTGGCCAGCCCTTCTCGCAGTGCCTGGATAGTCCTTAGACACTCGTTCTCCCAAGGATGCTGACATGGGCATGGCTGCTGCAAGGATTTTCCCTGCACTAGGAGGGAATGGTTCCAAAACAACATCTGGTGCCCAAATTGCCATTGAACAATGATTCCTCTGCCCACTCTGATGCAGGGCATCTTTTTCTAGGAGAGCTTTTTTGCAACCTGGGTCTCTTCACCTTCAGTTGAGGATTTTTCTGAGAGATGAAAAGCCCACGCTGGAGGAGTGGGGTGGGATTGAGCTGGAGAATTGCAAATTACCATTATATTCATCCCTGCTCACAGAGTCAATGATAACTCTTTAATTGCTTCCAGTCAGGTAACTGGTGCCAATCAAATCTGAGCAGACATTGGTGCTAGAGGATGCTCTGCTGGACTTTTCGCTCCTTGTTAAGATTCTTCACTCCCTGCTGATGGGAGCCCTCTGTGTCTCTATTGCTCAAGTTTTCCATTGATATTATACAAAAATTTCCATCATGGAACCACCTTCAACTTCCTGAGGGAGATGCCTTACTTTCATTTAATGAGTGCCCTAGAGGCTTGCCAGGAGGTTAAAAACTGCAGTGTTACTCTCTGATCTTTGATTTCTTAATCACCTGCACCTGTCTCCAATCAAATCCATATTCTGCAGCAGCACATGTGAGAGACAGCCCTGCTCTTTTGTGATGGGTATGACATTTTGCTTTGCCATTTTCTAAGGTAGTGATGGAAGATGACTCACAGGTGATACTTGTATACATGAGGATTTGGCCCAGGTAGTTTTGACATGCAAAGCTGACTGAATTTGGCATGATACCCTGCCTTATCAAAGTGATACCTGTAAGTGCTAATTCCATGTCTTTGTCCAGAATTGGATCTGAATTTTTCAGCCAGAACATTCCTCTGGATGCAGGTTGGATGCCTCTCCACCTCACATGGGTGTATTCCTGGCACCCTCCTGTCAAGATAATTCCTATGGGAATGTAGCAAGCCCTATCTCATCTCTCTCATTAGCACTGCAAAACTGTGTGATCCCTGTAAGAGACTTTTTTTTTTCTTTTTTCCCTTCAGCAAGTCACAAGTAGGACTTAAATTGCTGTGAAAGATGGTATATGAATTTTGTTAAGTCAGTGGTGATGGCCTGACTCCCTGTTTTTTTCCTCTCTCTCAACATGGTACTTCCAAACAGGGTAAGTCCTTCTGGCTTGCTTATACTAGCTGCATAAGTTCTGTTGGAAGAATTCATGAAAAGTAATTTTAGGATCATCATTTATGACTTCTAAGAGGCAAAAAAATATTACAGAGAAGGCTGGTTTGGAACAGATACTCTCTTGGCCTGTAGATGACCCCGTTGCTGAGTATCACAAGTTATAATAGCACTGTGTCAAGTCTGTTAATCAGAAGTGGAAAAATACAGCACAGCTGATCCCCAGGGCTGCCATTCAGACATGTGCCTGTGATACCAAAAGACCTGGTGCTTCCCAGGAGAGGGATCATCCGCGTTCACACAGGCACCTGGGGCTCATGGAAACCAACCGCGTTATCATGGTGCTGAGACCCACCGCCGAGCCTTCCTGTGCGGGCTCACGCACACACAGCATGAGCACAAGCACTCGCGGGGCCACAAACAGCACTCTGTGCTCACGCTCCCTTTCAACACCTGTAATTTAAAAGCAGGCGAGCAGCTGAGTACACACTAGACACCTATAAGATAAGTACCGTTCAAAACATAACCTCAGTCCCTTCTGACAGGCTCCCCGCTCCCTCTGCTCACGTTGCTTATCGTAGCAGGCTGTCCGGGATCAAAGAGCTGGCGGCGCTCCCCGACCGCGGGCGTCTTAGAGCAAGGCGACAGCACCGAGGACACGTCCTGCTCAGCACTTAACACCAGGAGATTATTTATGGACTTGTTTTTTGGGAGAGTTTGTCAGTTCAGAGGAAATTGGCCATGTTTACTGCGAACCTGGTGGGCAGGTGTTTCCTGTGATACCTAGAAAAAAAAATGAGTCTAAAAATGGAGTAGTTATACAAACACAAGATAGATGCTAAAATACAGACTTCTTAAGTATAAGAGACTTTTCTGCTCTAGCCTTTTTTAACAGCTAGGATGACGCAAGGTACCTTTATTTAGAGATGTGACTGTTCAAATGGTCCATCGCTCGTTTTGATTGCTACAGAGAAAATCACTGCTCTGGAAAAACACTTGAAAACTTTCTGGAAACTGCTGCTTTCTGTGGATGCGAAAAACACTCATTAAAACTAAGCTATTAGGCTTACTGTGCTTATGTCTTCCTGTCATATAAATGCCACTGGAGGTAATGAAGGGACAGTAGCTGAACCATTTTGGTCATTAAAATATGCTGCAAACTGTTGCTTTTTGTTCATAACGTGAACAAGGCTTGAAGGCTGTTACACTCAAACCTGTTACTAGAGCATCTTTCTCCAGCAGCTGCTCTGTTTAGGCATCAATTTACTTGAAAAATAAACAGGAAACTCTTAAAGCAAAGCTATTCAGTGGCTGCTCAGTGCATATTCTGGGGAATAAATTGTTGCTTACCTTGGCTACAAATAGTAGAAGGGATTCCAGTTCAGTGGAGGAAGCCGAGTGCCTGCCCCAACAGACACTTGGGCAGCTAACACTCAGGCCAGCACTCAGCAGTGAGCTGCCACCCAAACTCGTTTTGGCTCCCTATGCTATTCAGTTCAACAAGGCACGTACCAGTTTCCCCAAGCATTGGGGCTTTCCACTGAATTTCCCTCTTCTTTCATTCTCCCATCCAGGCATTTTCCTTTCTGTGCTAGCCTTGACTTGAAGAATCTCACTATCTCAATAGTCCTCTAGAAGAAGGTGTGCTGCGTCTCAAAGGTCAGCAAAAGTCCTGTGCAAGACCAGGTTTCATCTACGAGAACAAAACCACTGCCTCCTGTCCTCAGCTCTCCTGGGTCTGCTGAAAACGTCTTGTGGTTGCACACGGTGGAGGCCGACAAAGCCAGTGAGATGACCTCCGTCTTGCTGCCCTAAGGATGGAGAAAGAGGTGCAAAGCCTCACATTTTCACCGAGTCACTGAACATGTTTAATTTTTAATATATTCTGCATTTCATCACCTTCAGGATCAGGACACTGTCTGCAGCTCAAGTTAGGAAATGAATTGGAGCTGTCTGAACGCCCATAAGACAAATGTCTCATTCCACCAGATACTATTTCTGGGTGCAATGTTCTGATCTATACAGATCAGAACAGCTCAATTTGTTAATCTTTCAGTGGGTAACAGAAGTGCTTCCTCTGTGGTAACAGCAGGGCTCTTTGTAAGGCTCTTTCTGAGGACAATGAAGAGTGAACCTGCTTGCTCTAATGTTCAGTGTGGCTGAAGACTTCACAAGGCTGCCCTGAAAAGCAGGATCTTACTGAAGAACTGTGAAACTAATGACACCAGAGAACAGGAAAAAATGTACACTGTAAGTGCTAAGTTTGGAGATGAGAAAGAAAAAGTCTATGCAAGGAACTACCTGCTGTAAGTACAGCCAGAGTGCACTGTGCTATGAGAGAAAAGGCACAGCTAGAAGCAGAACACACTTCTATACATGGTGAGCATTTAGTTTATAAAGTCTCTGGAGCACGCATATTTTGTTGACAGTAAATAATACTGACTGGCTTTGTCATTACTGTATGGATCCAGGAAAAAAAAAACAAAAAAACACACAACTCCACAATTATGGAATGCTCTCTGAGATCTCCTGTCCAAAATTCAGGCTCCTTTAGTTTAGCCTCTGGAATTATAATCTGGCCTTTACTGTATAAGTTGCAACATGACATTTTGCTGATCTTGGAATCACAAGGCCACAGTCAGTGGTAATGTCAGGCTGAAAAGGTTAAAACCTTCTCTGCCTTTTTACCATTGTTCAGCCTCAAGTAACTTCCACGCTGAGCAGCTGGGAGAAGGGGTGGCTTTCCAGGGGGTCTTTGTGCCATGGTTGCAGCCTTCGCTGCTGGCGGGTGTTGGTGACAAGTGCCCCGCCAGGACTGGCTCCAGAGTGAAAGAGATTGTGCCAGTCCTTTGTTGCCTGGTAATAACCACAGCACAGAGCTGTGCCCTTCTCCTGCTTGAATTAGGACTGGCTTCTGAATTTTGTTCAGGGAGGTTTGAAGAACACACATCGGCACATCATTCACGTAAGTGCTGTCCACACCAAATGAAATACCAACTACAGAAAACAAATGAACCCAGTACCAAAAAATACCCACCTAGAGTCATTGAAACATATTATTAAAACCTTTTATGTTAATCTACAGTACAATGTAAATTGCTCCTTTCCATTAAACTTTGAAATACACTAGATTACATCTTTTAAATAATCACCTTTTTTTAAGTTCACTATTAGTGGTAGCAGAGCTATATTTACATACTGTTCCAGAATATTTCAGATGCAGCGTTATGTTCCAGTCCCTAAGTCAATGAAGTAACAGACTTTACATGGAGAGCTACTGCTCTTACACTCCAGATGTGTCTGGAACCCTGTGGATGTGTGAGAGCAACAACTCCACTTATTCTTGTCCACTTTTTTGTTTTTTTACTGTGTGCATGCGGCTGAATCTGAGCAATTTGATACCCATGTGGTTTGGATTAAAGACTTTTCTTTATCAACAAGTATTTTGACTGAGTGTACAGAAATGAATAATGAAATATAATTCTTAGGAGTAGTGGTTGAAAATATTGTTTTTCCAACCTTCCCCCTATTGGGTAATACTGCACCTTATTTTGACCCTGACTTTACCTAATGCTGATGAAATATAGTCAGTGGTGGAAACCTTTCTCATGTGGTCAAGACCTGCTTTCAACGCAATCCATGCAATGGCAAGCATCATACACCATTCACCCACAGCGCAATATTAACAAGTAAAACTCGTATTTTCCTCCAGAGATTTGCTCCTCAGGGGAAGCCTATTTGTGTTTATACATTGCCCACATACAGACTGAGTCCTAAGGCTGAAGATCAGAATTAGGCTACGGGCCAGGCTCCTTCTGATGTTCTTCATGGAGGAAAACCCAGAGCAAGTTCAAGCTGCTGAATCTCTCAAGGGGCCTTGCACATGGCCCTGCTCAAGCTGAGTCTCTCCTGCGTGCTGCCTGCCCCGGGTTCAGGGCCGAGTGTGAGGAGTGCTGATCATGATGTTGGGCAGCGCGTTGCGCCGCTTCTTCCAGGAGCCCAGCTCCCTTGAGTAGCGCCGGATCTGCCTGAACCAGTGGTGAGTCCGTGCCCGGTCGCTGTCCCGGAACACAAACGCCTCCCGCCTGATCTCAATGAGTTCAAAAGTGTCATCACAGTCGGGATCCGTGGAGACGACGCAATTACTCAGCCTCAAGGGCTCCCTGAGCAAGTGGAACTTCCCATTATTTTTGTCCCTGATGAGCACCAGCACAGCATCTTTCACAGGCCCTGGTTCGGCTGATTCCAGGCTGGACTCAGATACACGCTTCATGTTCACCAGGAGCAGGACCTGCATGTTCTGGAACTTCAGCGTCTTGCTGCCTTTCTTCACCCACTGGCCATCAGGGGGTTGAGCCAGCTGCAGAGGTCCTTCCATCACAAATCGTGTCTCCTCCCGCAGCCAACCTACAGTTTTGAGGGCAGTTTCTCTCATCTCAATGTTGATGACTTCTCTTTTCTTCTTGCTGTCCTGGCGAAAAGAACGCAGGGTCCATGTGTTCCCTTCCTGCTTGGTTTTCATGTTGATGTGCTCCAGGTGGGATTCGATACGGCTCTTAGCCTCCCGCAGGCTGCCATGATCTGGGTGGTACTCGGTGGTAGCCTTGATGATTCTACTGAGCAGCAGTGGGTACTTGGTGACTCTTTGCAAAGGGGCCATCAGGAAGGACCTCAGGTTCATCCGCCGCAATGCTGTGTTGTCATTCTGAGAGACATTAAGGAATATTCTGCAGGAAATTAAGAAGAGGGAATTAAATGGTGGCTTTTCTGCCAGCAGATGCTGCATCCCGAATACAAATGAACTACGTGGTCCTGACAGACACTGAGCACCACAATCCCCCTTTGGTTTTAACAACTTTGTGATTTCTGTGTCCTCAAAAACTAACAACAATTTCTGCAGCTGTACTCAGCTGCAAAGCAGTGACAAGGTGCCTGGCACCCCAACACGTAACCTCTGCACCATCCACTATAAAATTATTTTTAAAAAGCAAGGGCGTGATCTTTCCCTGGTAAGCACTGATGTAAGCCTGTGGCAGATCCATCAGTTTATATCAGATTACATTCATTTGCAGCTCCTTTCGTCATTAGATTACTAAGTATTTTGAAGAGGAATTTGGTAACATCATCATTTTACAGCTGCTACAGGGAAAACAGAGAAGTGACTCGCCCAACTTTGTCCAACAGGCTAGGGCAAGATATGGGAAACACACTTAAGTCATTTGCGCTTCATACAGCAGCTTAAGCCTCAGCAGAGATTGAATATGTCCTCGGTTATGTTATCTGGTGAAATCTCAGCCCAGTGGTTTGTGGACAGCTGGGGACTAACTGGATATATTAAGGACTGAATATATTTTGGAGAGTAAATTACTTTCTTTGCTGCCAAAGAGAGCAGCTCACAAATGACAAATATTAGGCAGCATGAAAAACTTTGCTTTAGCTGAACTGAACAAAGGCTTCACCCTCTGACTGTGACTTTTATTCCCCAAATCCTGAAAAAAATACTCTCAGCCCTTTTCTTACCAGAGCAATGTTTCTCACCTGAGCAACTCCTTCTCCTTCTCCAGTGTGTTCAGCATATTCACAGAGGAGGACTGCTGAAGACAGTAGGTCTGAAAAGCTGGCAGCATGTTGACAAACTCCAGAAAGATTTCACCAATGCACACGGTCATCAGGTCTTCGTCACTCTGCAAGCGTGCAACACAACCCTGCTGGATTAGCTCAGGAGAAGTGGAACCACAGAGTCCTATCAACGTTAACTTACATTAACTTACTTGATGAATACCAAGCTGAAGATGGAATGGGGCTCATCCTCTCTGGCAGACAGGCAGCTCCTCATGTCTAGGGGTAACAGCACATGGGGAGGGTGTCCAACTGGCTTTGGATCTGGCTTTGGCAGGTGAGGGGCTCAGAGGCCTGAATGAGCCCGCTGGGCAGGAGGGTGCACTGGGGCCCTTCTCACTGTAAGGCTAATGCAGCAAGGCATAAATTAACAGCACTTGAGGAACAAACGGGCAGGGCAGGCCTATAACTCAGGTAACAGATCTGGCACGTGACAATTTCTGCACTTCTGAGTAACTGGCCTGGCTGGCCGAGTCTCCTTCAGCTGTGCTGCTACCAGCTATTTTGAGTCCTAAGTTAAAAATAAATGTCATGGAAAAAAACTTTTGATTTAGGGATGTATAATAGAATAAGGGGAATAATAATAATCTGGTGCCACATAATGCTATTAGCTTAGCCTAGCTGCAGGCTGACAGGCTCTGCAGTTACTGCCCATTCCAGCAGCGAGAGATGGAGCAGCTCCCTGGCTGCTGCTGGCCTTTTGGTGCAGGGCTCAGCTCTGACTGCAAAGGCCAACGTACAGGCAGGGACAGGAGAGGAACCAGGGAAACCAGTAGCTGTCTGCAGGAGCCCTGTCTCAATAAATGATTCATGGAGGACATCCTGACTGCAGTACACAGCTGTCCTCACTGCGCCAGGCATAAGACAACTGTTGTCAAAGTTGCCAGTTCTGGGGACGTTTGTTGCTCAATCTGATGTTCAGGGTTTTGGAGGGGGAGATGAGAACATATGTTACCTAGAGGACAAAATATCCTGGCAAAATTGATATAGCAGTGAGTGAGTGGTGGTTCCTCAAAGAAAGGAAGACTGGGGCTGTTTATTTGTTCTGTGCAGTGCTAGTCTGGTGCTCTGCATCTTATTTATATTGCTCTATCCTTTGACCATCATGGAAGTCCCTTGTGCACAGCAGGGTGAATCAGCAGAAGCTGCTCATGCACTGTGCTGTAAGTGCAGGCTCTCATTGGAGCAGGGAGCACCTGCACTCGCCTGGAAGCAAGTGACAATAAGCTTCAACCTCAAGCCAGGCATAACCAAGACAGTTTGAAGGAGTCAGCTTAGGCTGGAGAAGAGTGTGGCCAGCTAGCTTGGTCTCCTTCACCCTTCTGGCCAGATCAAGCTGAGCTCTGTACCCCCATGGTCTTACTCTTACCAGTGTCTAAGTTAACTGGCTTAAAGCTAACTTGGGTAACAGGCCTGAGCTGGGCTGATGTTCTGCTAACATCAATGGAGTTACCACAGCAAAGGAGTGAGGCCAGTAGCTCTGAACTGGCAGGAACCTACTGAGATCACTTGTTTACAACAGCTGAGAGGGGAAAGCATCTGGCATTCCTTAGCTCAGCCTCATGGAAAACACAAGCATTCATACCTGGTCAAAAGCCCGATCGATCTCCTCCTGGAGTATCTCCAGGAAGTTCTCATTGAGGTCGATGAGTTCTTGGATGTTGCTGAAGACACCGAGGAGCTGCTCCTGGCTCAGGAGCCCAGCCGCCTGCATGGGGAGGTAGAACTCCTCTTTGATGATGCGCAGGTCCTCTCCATAGCTGGCCTCTGTATTGACAAACTCCAGCACGGACTCCTTGCGCTCCGTCCTGCGCTTGCAGCACTTCTCACAGAGGTCTGCCCGCCTCTGGTTGCAGTTCTGCACATCCGTCTCCACTGGCAGGTCCCTCTCTCCACAGTCGGTGCAGGGCCGGTGGGCCTCCCAGGCCTGCAGGGAGCTCAGTGTCTCCGCCGCCCGGTTCCTCCACTTCCTGGCTGGTGTCTGGCCAATGCCGCTGTCTGCCCTGGCCACCTCCGTCGACCTCATCCGGGTGCCCTCGCTGGCATCTGGGCTGTCCCGGTCTTCGTTCACCCCAACAATCCCACTGTCTGTGCTCAGGCTGCTGACATTGCTCCAGTGGTGCCTGGAGCGGAGGGAACCACGTGGGGCACGGTGCGTCTCATCGAAGCTGCCACCATGGCCAAGGTTGGCTTTTGCTACCACTGGACCTGAGAACAGACATAAATCATTACAGGCTCTGTCAGCTACACAGAGCTCACCTGGGAAGTTGGCACAGCTGTGAGCATTAGGACCCCCAGAGACAAAGATTTGGTGAAAGCGGGGCTGCAAGCCACCTCATCTCCTATTTTGCTACTGAGAAGAGGAGGTCAGAGGCAAATGAGCTCCAGGTGAGGCCTAGTGCCTGACAGCCCTGCACGGTCTATGACTGTGAGCTCCCTTGGGCTCCCTCTCCCTTGTGTCTACCAGGCATGGACAGAGATACACCAGAGTAGATCCTGATTTCTTGCACACCAGTGTTAAATCCAGAATGCCTCCCCTCCCCAGGTCAGTAGGGCTACTCCAGGGCTCAGCACGTGGCCCACCAGCCCCACAAAGCGTGTGGAAGGTGACTACCGTAGTCCCTCTCCTGCCGGCGCTTCTGCGCGTGCTGCCGCGCGGCGGCTGCAATCTTCAGCTCCAGCTGCTTTCTCTTCACGGAGTCTGTCGGCATGGGGTCACTGAAATGCGGCCGCAGGCGGCACTCCCGCTGCGCCTTGGCACTGTCCGTGCTCTCGTGGATGATGTCAGAGCTGGACCGGCGGCAGGCAGCACTGGAGGTCTGTAAGAGAGGCAAGTGGGGCTGGACATGCTGCAGCATGGGCAAAGCAGGGCCTGGTTTGGCACCACTGCATTTCACTTCTCAAAGGAAGGTGGGGTTGCAAACCCAGCTCTGCTACACGATCAACCCCAGGGAAATCTGTCCTCCCAGGTCTCTCTGTCTTGCTCAGTCCTGAGAGCAGAGACCCCTCTCTGCCTTCGTACAGCACTGAGCACAGTGGCTCCATGGTGGCCAGCCCACATTTGTCAAAGAGCCAGGAAGAAGTGAACAGCACAGCTCTGGCCAGGGACCCCAGAAATGCCAGCTCCTGAAGGAGGAACTGGGCCTATCCTCTGGGGATCTGATCTCTATTCTGTGACATGGGTGCTCAGGATTCAGGAACACCTGTCTTTTAGCCTTACTTAAGTTAGTGGCTTCACTGGACACTAGAGAAGGAGCCCGGCTGCTCCCCCAGGCAGTGGCAGCAGTGAGGCCCAGTAAGCCAGGAAGGAGTCACTGCTAGATGCCCTGCAAGGGATGTAGTGGCTGATAGGCAAGGACAAATAACTGACTTCTGTTTCATTAACTGTAACAAAAAAGGCATTAGAAATCCCCCCTTTTTAACAATATTTTTTTGATGTGGAAGTTGGGGTGACTTCAGATACTAGGCTCCCACCCTGCAGTTTCCTACAAGGGAAGGATCCCTCACAGCCTCTGATGAAAGGAAGGAAGGAAGAAGGCTCCTAAACACATGTCCGAGGTGACCGAGACAGGGGAATTCTCTCCCTTACATTCCCTGCAGGTTGAGCATCGCCAGATGCCTCATTGCTTGGCTTGTTCTCCCAGGTCTCTGTTGCCATGGACATTGCTGTGGCTTCCTGGCTGTCTTCTGGAGGCCGGAGATCCTCTTTCCTCACATCACACTGTCCCTTGGTGGCGGATTTAGCAGCAGTCTCGGCATTGCAGCTGCAGGGGAAGGGGCAAATTCCAATTAACATCACACATGCAGTACCTGCCCATCCTGACACGGACGCAAAAAAACCCACGTTTGAACAACCAGCTGCAACAGTTCAGTGCAAGTTCAGGCGGAAACCTAGCCTGGCTGGCATAAATCAGATTCCTGGGTAATTGTAGAGCTGTGCATGGGCTTAGGGACTCTAAACACAGCTCAGCTATAGAAGTGCAAATTGGCTATTTGCACTTATGCCAGCTTCAGTTTGGGGTATCAAGTTTGAGGTGTTCACATGACATTTTTGTGCCTGTGAAACATGAAGTGCTCCCACAGGGCCCAGAAAAAACTCCAGGAAGGCCATATCCATTTTTTTCCTACTATTTAAAGAGATGTTGTCAATACAGAAATCATATGGCTCATCTGGAAGCAAATCACCTGCTAATAAACGTAATACTTTGAACAGATTAGAAGATTAAAAGAGCATTCCCTCTGTTTTTCATCTCATACAATCCAAAGCACTCTGAAACCATTAACTATGCGTTTTGCTGCGCTTGCCCAAGACCCCTTCGTTGTAGGTAACACCATCTCTCCAGTCAGAAGGTTGGTGCAAAACCACTGACTTGACAGATGAAGAGCCTGTATTTATTTTTTTAACACACACTCTCTGAGATGCTTTATTTCCGTGCCTAATAAAGCATACTTGGAAGAACATCCAGATTTTTTTTCTTTCATTTGAAGCTTATTTAATTTCTACTGGCTTAGATTCCTTTAAAAAGGCTGTCAGGCCTCGATGAGGATGCTTCCACATAGAGGCAGCCAGGGTCAGGAACACATTTTGGGTTATGCATGTATTTTATGCTTAACAGAAGTCTCCTATGATAAAATCCATTTCTTTTTAAAACATTCACTTGTAAACCGATGCTCATAGGTCATACAGCTACGTGCAGATCCAACACTGTCAATTACATGCAAGCACATGAGACAGATGGGCATTTTCTTTACAATGAGTGACAGTTGGCTCTGATTGATAACAAACCATCAACCATGCTGAAACCGCACAAGAGGGAACAAATCTCCCAGAACACAAACTAGATCTGTTGTCAAGCCAGAAAAGTTGGTCTGCAACTTTCTAGCTGACACTTTTTCATCTTTCTCCATTTATGCTTCCAAGTCCCTGCTGGAACTACTGAAAGATTTACAGGTTTATAAAAGAGTTTAGTGTCGGCACAGTGTTAAAACACAGCTCGTGGCTTTAATTTCTTGAATTGCTACTTTCCTGCCATGTGGATTTGGACAAATCGTTTCACCTCTCCAGGCCCTTCTTTCCCTGTCTGTAGAAGGGAACAGTCCGTATTACAGACCTGTATACAGACCTGCAGTCTGTGAAATGATTTGAGTTTTAAAAAAATGCCTTCCCTCATAGGTACTTATTCCCAAGCAGTCCATTTCATTGATGCAATTGCTCAGGACACAGCTGAGGGAGGGAAGGGAGTGAGCAGGCAGCAAGAAAACTCTTGAATGGGACCTGCCCCTGTGAGCAAAGCACCATTTCTCAAACCCGCTCCTCCCCAGACAACTTCTGGCTGAAATACTCAAAAAGAAAGGAACTTGCCGAGACATGGAAAGCTTGAAGGTCAGTTGAAGACCATCCTGATCACACCACTTCCCACCATACAGCCCATGCCCTCAGATAGAAGCTGAGCTTTCATTAGACATTTTACAGTGCTTCAAGATCACCCACGGAAACACTGTAAGTGCTGTGGAGTATTACTGCTCCTCTAAGTGAAGCTGACAGCAACTTTCCACCAGTAAGGTCTGGGGAACTCTGTTTATTTGAGCCTTAAAACTGAACTGAACACACTGGTTTCAGGTGTCACTCAGACAACCAACACAATGGTCTAAACTGAGTTTGCTCCAGGTTTCAGAGTATCTTTGCTTTACACCATCTGCATTAATCCCCTTCTCATCTCTGCCTCCTTGTGTTACGGGCTGTCCTTCCACTACTCTGCCACAGGCCTCGCATGCAGCTTTTCCCTTGTGCTCTGCCCTCTTTGTCAGTGCACATAACTGATGGCTCCTGGCAATCCTGCCACCTGGGCTCAGAGACTGCCACCCCTAGTGGCAGCCTTACTGCCCCTGCTCTTTACAATGATGTAAGGATAATAGCAAAAGGCCTTACTGAAGCCCTTGGAGTGCCTGGCATGTTTCCTTTTGTGGGATCAAACCACTTCCCATGAGAGGATTTATTCCAGTTGGGGATGACATGAATTTTTCCCACCCAGACACATGGTAGGCTCAGACCAGCCCTCAGACTGGGAGGGCAGGCTCTTTCTGAAAGCCCCTTTACATCTCTGGGCCATTATCTTTCTCTGAATCTTGAGGCAACAGAGGCACTGGGTCTCTGATGCACAACTGTAAATGCAGGGCAACAGTGCTCAGCCCTGCCTGGCTCTTTCTAGCTAACAGGAATATTCTTGTCCCTTCTCCCCCAGCATTCTCCTGGAATTGGGGTTCTTTGCTGTGGGAAGCTGTATCATAACCCACCATCTTTGTATCATCCCAAATAAACCAAATCACTATTTCTTTCAAGCTTTCTTCCTCATTTGGGGCCTTTTTTTTTTCCCTTTCTCTTTTGCAGCTTTTTGAAACAATATTTTCACCCCATTTCATAGACAGGAGCCCCTGGTTCTTGCCCATCCTTATCCTGAACTCTTTGTGGCTTAAACAGATTCAGAAAGTGGAATACACATTAAAATGCATAAAAGATTTCCACCTGGATCTTGAGCTAAAGGTATCCAGCAACTCATAAACTGCCATCATTATAAAACTACAAATCAAAAAAATGCTCAATGCTGAAATATTAAGCCATTTAAATGAACTATAAGTAAATAATTATGAATTTCTGGGGGGACAATGAAGTCACCAGACAAAACTGCTTTGTAAAATTGTAACACATTCACAAAACCACCAGACGGAGAAGACAGTCTCGGCTCTTTTGTTACCCTCCATCTCAGCATCTATATCAAAGACTTCACATTACTCTTCCTGAGCTCAATACCCGTGGAAATGGGAGTAAATGTCTAGTTTCTGACTCATTTCATTTGAGTCCTAGAAAAAGTGTAGCCTGCACTCCAGTGAGTATAATGTGACATAGAACCCCAAAATCCAAGCCTCTGCAGTAAGAATCAGGTTGAGTTATGAATCAATCTTCAGTCAGTTTACAGTCTTAGGTGAAAATGACAGAAAAGTGAGAAATTTCTACCCAAAGGAAACTGGACTTTGCCAGCAGATCTGTTTTGCTACTGCTATCCAGAAGAAATAACAGCTTTTCCATTAATTGTTACTACTATCTAAAATAAACAAGCTTGTGTGGCTTCTCTGATAAAACAGTCTCCCTAATCATGGCACCACAGTCATTCATGCTTGCAGATGACTTCCCATTTTCATGTTAATAAAATCACTTCATATTTTTTAACAAATCTAAGTGAAGGGTCTGAGCCATGCACAGAAACTGAAATGATTAAGGATATTAAAAGCACAGAAACCACAATGAAATCATAAGGTTTCTCAGCAGAAGGTAACTGGAGACTAGGAGAGTAGTAGGAAGAAATACCATATGCACTACCTGTTTCTTGTACACTGTGCTGTGCATGCACCTCTGACCCCGGATGCTAGTGAGACCTTTGATGTGCCTAGCAACAGCTCTTCTTACGCTCTTACTCACAGACTGTGTTATTTGTTTCTGTGTATTCCATCTCATATCAACAACAAAAAATAGCCTAGTCAATGAAAATGGTTCTCATCTATTTCTTCATCAGCTTTTCATTCTCTAGCACAACAGCAAAAAGGCTGGACTGGACAGCTGAAGGAAGCATTTATGGCTCTGACACCACCTAGTTCTCTTTGGATTGCAAAATTGCAGAAATATTTCTGCTTGTCACTTCAGCTCTGTCTACACAGGCATCTTCAGCTCCAAAACATGCATTTAGATGACTGTCAATCCTGTGGAGAAGTCTCTTTCTTCTAAAAACTGAGTCTAGCCCTAGAGCTCTAGCACTCCAGAAATACCATCCGGTTCAAGGCTGGAAGCCTGGCATTTCTCACACAATATCTGTGGATGTTGCAAGCAGCCAGGAACCAAGTCAGATGTAATTCTTGGAAAAGTCAGTCCCAAAAGAACCATCTACCAACACCTACTCTTCCTTCTTCCATCAGTCTTATCTAATGATGAGCCAGTGGTAACTAACTACTACAAATTCCTAGTTCCTCTTTCAGTGAGCTTCACTGATTCTTGTTGGGCCGCCTGCCTGTATGGAAAGGGATTCCTACTTCTTCAGAAGGCAGGAGCAGGATTGCAACGTCCAAAACCAGGCAGGAGGAAGCAGTCCTTGTGAATGCCCTACCTAGAGAAGGGGGAGGCCCTCCTGGGGTGGAAGAGAGGGAGAAAGATGTTAGGGAAGGATTTTCAAGCACTACTTGCACTGTCTGATTGGGCAGTGAGATGGTATTTGCAAGCACTTTCACTCATTGTCCATGCTGGTCTTCAAAGGGTGGTTAAAGAGAGAAAAAAGTACATTCTGCTCACACAGTTATCCTATTCTCATTAGCTTGCCAGTTCACTATCTACAGGCAGCAAGTGAAAGTGCTTATGTCTCACTTCCTGAATTCATGTCCTGTGGTAATGGGACCAGACTCTACATCTTTTTTTTTTTTTTCTGGGAGTTGTAGTTATATTTTGTATATTTTGTTGTAGAGAAAGGGGAGACCTTTCTCTACTTTTAACAGACATTCAAAAAATTACTCAATAATTTATAATGGAAATAAAAACTGTGGGTAATTGAGGCATCAGGACTACTATTGGCTGCTGTCTGGGTATGGCTAAGCATGGTTAAGCTGTCCAGACATGCTGTCTGGACAAAACCATGTCTTTGTCCATGGTCTGGACAAAGAGTCAAAGTCTTGATGAAAAGGCTTTTTGAGACTTAATCCCATGCAAAAATGGAGTTTAAGCCCAACAGCATAAAGACACATCCACCTAGATATTGATCCCTAAAATGAAAAGCTCTGCCTGGAGAGGGTTCCAGCTACAGGAGTTACATGTACATATCAGGAGATTGGATTTTTATAAGGGAATTGCTTTCAGGTGACCCCACAGACCATGTTACCTTTTCTTAATAAGTTCCAGGGCGGAACCTATGAATTCATCCTTCATTTTTTGTAGTTTAGCTCCATAGCTGGATAAATCTGTGGCTTCTAACAGCAGCGATGAACAGCAAGATGACTGGGCTTCAGAAGGTATTGACTGCCCTGTAAGGTGGAGGACATCATTCAATTGTCTTGTCTCGCCTTTCTGCTGCTCATCATTGAAGGTCTCCTGCCCAGCCCTGTGGATTGCTACTGCCTGCAAAGGTGATCGTGGAATTGGGCTACAGCAAATGGGGACTGGGGACCTATCTGGACTGGAGATCTGGTAGGTCATGTCCTTCACCTCAGAGCTGTTCATCTCAAAGCCATCTGATGTGTCTGGGCAGTGGGAAAAGCTAGTAGAGAAGTGGTTTTCATGGAACACATCATCTTCCTCATCTGCTGTGACAGTGGCTTCATTCACAGCTTTGGTCTCCAAATCTTCTGGCCAGACATTCTTATTGTTCCCCTTCTCCATAGTCTTGCTTGCACAAAGTGTCTTATTTGAGCACTTTGTCAGCCCACTGCTGCTGGCAGATGAATTTGCCTCCTTACTTCTCATCTGCTTGAATTCCTCAAAGGTGGGGATGTAAAGCCTCCCTTTGCAGCGGCCTTTCTGACTCTGCCCCAATGTCACTTTGACATCTGCTTCCCTATTGCATTGTTCCAAGGATTCTGCTGTTCTGGCTTTGGTCATCTCATGGCTTTTCCCAGTGTCTTGAAGGGGCAAACTGGGGGAGCTGTTCTGCCTTCGGAGCTGAAGCCTTCTCCTAGCCTCCTGCTTGATGTCTTCTGGACTGGTGATTCTGTGTGCAAGACATAGTCTCTGCCTCCCTGTGAGGCTGTGCCTGAGAGCAGTGTGTTCTACCAACACTGTGCAGCAGTTGAGTGCACAACCATTTCTGTACTGCTGGCACATCCGGCATTCAAAGAACTCCCGGGCCATCAGGTCAGTCAGGGCTGCCTGTGGGCGCACTGGCTTGCTGGGCTCGGCCACCTTGGTGCTGTGCAGCCTCAGCTTCTCCTTCAGTTCTTTTTTGACATCCCGGTGGAGCGCTCTATCCTCTGCAGAAGGGAAGAGCCACTGAGGCACTTTGGTAAAGGGAGGCAGGAGCACATTCTGTGCCGATCGTGATGTCTGTTTAGCACAGAGTGAAAGCTTCCTCAAAGAGTCTGAAGTGCTCTGTACTGCGGTCGCATCCACACAGCCTTCTGACAAATGCCTAGTGCCTTTATAGTGGAAAATGATCTCATTATCTAGGCTCTGGCAGTGAGAATACAGCCCAGAATCAGCTACTGTTGCCCAGTGAAGATTCTCCATGCTCCGATACATCCGGTGTTCCACAGGATTGGCCAAAGGTGCCTTGCCTGCGTGGCAGGAGTCTAGAGTGTGGAACTCCCCAGAAAAAATCTCAGTGTCTAAGTTCTTTAGGGGATGCATGCTGCTAACTGAAAAATCCTTTAAGCCATGCTGGACATAAAGTTGATTATTTTGGCAGCTCAAGATCACCCGGCAGTTTTCCTGTCTCTCATCAACACTGATGTATGTCATAGCAAATGAACATGGAGGCTCTAAGACTCTGGTGCCTAGGGGGAGAAGAGGGAGCTGGGGTGTCGCTTAGATGCCAGTCAACGTCCACAGACCACAGACAGCAAAGTGTGCTGCTGGGTACTCACATTAGAGAGCTCTCACATGGGTCGAGTCACCATGCGCAGACCTGTGAACGGAAGGAAAGACGAGTTACTGAGGCAGCCTGGTCATAGCTCCCAGGATGCAACCGCAAATCTGCCACCAGGGAATGCAGAAGCCAAACAGCCAACAGCAGACAGAACTGCAGAACTAAGTGATGGGTTGTAGGACTTGGGGTAGCGAGGGTCTTTTCCACCTCTAGCCAATATATAGATGGCTTTACACTGCCCATTTTGATTTTGGAGTGTTTCTTTCTACCATCAGCTATGCCCTCACAACCCTGCTCAACTGCAGCGTCAGGTACCTCAGCAGTGCTTGCTGTGGGCCCAGCTTGCTCAAGTGGAAGCAGGAAGGAGATGGGACATTTACAAGAGCCGGGAAGGCTCTTTTCTTCAAAGGGGTTGCAGACAGTACTGTGGGGAGCTGAGGAGAAGGTTGGGGCGGGAAAGGATGATGTTATCACATTATCCTTGAAGGTATGGTCTCCTTGAAGACTCAAATAACAAGGGGAAAGAAGAAGGCTGACTGGTGGTGGCTTTGTCCCTAATGCTGCAGCCCTTTAATGCTCTGATTTACCCTTCACAAGGAGGTAAGTAAGGGAAGCTGGTAAGTGTAAGGGGAGGTGCAAGTATTTTAGAGACGGGAGAGAAGCACTTCCAAGCCTTTTCATTGCAGAGACTGAGGTACCTCACTGATTTTCATGAATGTACCCTCCTGACCGCTGAGCAATAAACCTGAATGATCCCCACATGTTACAACTCACTGGAGGCACAAGAAGAGAAACTGTGGTTTCCAAGGCTGTTCATATGTGCTCTGTTCAGCAGCACATGGCTCAGGAGACCCAGCTGACTAAATCCCATATTCAGGGAATGCAGATAGCTAAAACCCAATTTAAATTCAGAGAATGTCAGTAGGATGTAGGCTAAGGGTCTAAGTCATCCTTGCAAATAAAAGGACCATCTGAATTAGACAAGTCTCCTTGCAGTGAACTAACTGCACCTAACTTCTCCTAAGGATTTATGCCTCATGGACTTGCCCACACTCACATAAAGCTTGTCTGCTAGAGCCTTGCCCACTCTCTTGGCATCTAAATGAAAAGGCAATGAGTGAGGACTGTGCATACAGGAGGAAGGAACAAGACCTGGCAGGCACTATGGAGCTAACCTGAGCTGTTTGCTGCTGAGACTGTTTGCTCCGTATTGGGTGTGGGTTATCCACACACTGCCCAGCATTGAGGTGACGCAAACATCTTGGCCAGGAAGAGAATGAAGAGACTTGTTTCTCTCCGAAGCTAAGTCTAACAATGTGAGGCACAAGCAGACATCTTCCATCTGAGGAGAAATCTGAAGCAGTGAATTGCCTGGGGCCAATCTTGGTCCTGGTAGCTTGATTCTCCCCTTGTTTACAATAGTTCAAGATAAGGTACCCCCCAACATGTTAATGAAACTTTCTATAACCTAATCCCAGAGAGGGAAGGCAGAGTTGCTCCTGTGGATCACTGCTGAGTGGAGAATATTACCACAGTCCTTTGTAATCGCTAAACATGGTTATTAATTGAAACTAACTCTCAAGGTGTGGCTGTTTCCCATGATGTCATAGGCACTTCTCACCCATCTTCTCACGTTGGGACTCAAGTTCCCCTTCTTCATGGCTCTGGAGGAGCCCGCAGGCAACAGCAGAGAAATATGAAGCCCAGGACTTTCTGTGATCATAGGTTATAACATGATCTGTTAAGAAAGAGAGAATGAGATGATATGAGAGCAGATACAGAGTAGGAAACAGGGCTCCTGGTTGCACTGAAAGGCTCCTGTGAGAAAGCGTTGTTATGAGAGATGTCATGGTCTGTCGGGCAGATCTGTGATCCGGTCACGACCACAGAACTAAAAGTCACAGTGGGCTTTCTTCATTCTCCTTTCAGACTCAGCAGAAAGGGAAAATGACCCTTGCTGTAGCGACAGCTGCAACTACAGCAGTCATTGCCCAAGGCAGTGAGTTATACAGTAAAGCCTGAAGAGAAACTACAGCCTTTGTGAGGCAGGTTCCCAGGCTACACACACGAGGATACATCATACTTGTTTGGTGAGCTCTGTGTATGTCTGTGTGCGAAATAGACAGTCAGTGAAGAAAGAGCTAGTGAAGAAAGAGCACAGACAGGAGGAGAAGCAGTCATGAGAAGAGCAAAGAAGCAGAGAAACTCTGAGGCACAGAAATGACTGAGTGAGATTTGTCTGTCGCTACTTTCAACTGAGTCCAGGACTTTGCATGCTGTCTTCATAAACAGAGGGGGCAGCACTGAAAATGTGACTGACTTGAGTGATCACAGTCTTTCTTCAGGTAGAAATTCACTGCCAAGGCCTGAAGCTCTGACCCATCTTTGAGCCGTAAGACAGAGACACCAAGCTTGGCTGGCTGGAGCCCTGCCATGGCCTACTCAGCTACAGGACACAGGCCTGCCACAACACATGGGTATGGGCATCCCTTGAGCTGACCTCTCTGTTATACAGGGGAGCATTTCAAATCTGCTGAGAGAGGGGTATCTGTTTGCCCTGCAGCCACGGATTTCCTGAGTGGACGTGGAACCTGTTTGTGAGCTCTGCTGGGCCACAGGGACCCACCACTGCTTTGGCAGGGCAGGATTTTCTGGAAGGACATGGATGTGGGGTGGAAAAAGTTGCTTTCACAGACAGAGCAGCTGGGAGATACGTCCTGCTGGAACAGTGGAGTAGGCAGAGAGTGAGAGACAGAGAAGGGGAGCTGGAGGCAGGACTGCAGAGTGGAAAACCCAGAGAAGACAGGAGCAGACAGAGTACATGTGCGAGATGGCAGGAAAGAAAGAGAAAGACATTTTAGAGAAGTTTTCTGACAGGTAGGCAGGCATCAAAAATACTGGATTAAGTAAAGGAAGAAGGCCATTTTGTTTCTAGATCACTTGTGTTCATCTTTGTCACCCATCACAGATGAGTTTGTTTTGACTCAAAGGTGACTTTTTGTTCTAACAAAGCACCTTAGACACTGAAAGTCCCTTTGACACTTTCAGAGGAGCTCAGAGAAGTGTACATGGATGTACCTCAGAGGTCTGCATGCAAAGGAGAGTTCAGTGCCCTGGCTAGAGTAATGGGAGCCCCAGCAATAGGTGAGCTCTGATCCATCTCATACTTGAAACCAGCAAGAAGAAGATGTCATAGAAAACAGCTTGGACAGAAGCACCTGTCTTTCTACTCACTCCATTCTTGAAAGACCCTCTCTTTCCTACTAAACTCTTCTAATCCCACTGATTCCTCTCATGCCACCACACTGAGGGCTACATACATCATTTTAGGTGTCTAAGGTTAGCTCCACTGAACACACAGGCCAGTCGCTGCCCAAGCTGTGATGTGGGAAGGAGCTTTTTATGTTGCAGCACAGCCTGCTTCCCTATGGTCCAAAAGCACCAGGAACAGGAGGAAAATACTAGTTTCTGTAAAACACCATGAATAACTGGGGAAATTCTGACCTGCATTGCAGTGAGGAAACACTGAACCCTTTTCCTTCTCTCTCTCCCCAGCTCTTGTGCTCCCTTCCTGGCTGCACGCAGCAACAGCATCACAGTTCAAGCTCAAGAGTCTAACAGGTCAGTAAAACTGTTACAATACAAAGCAGGTGTCTTCAGCCTCAACTCCAAAGTAAGGTTATTACCAGAATGTTGCAGGCATTTTGCTGAAGGAAAGTGTGAAATGGAGACTGAATAAACCATTTGGTTAATATGCTTCTTATGCTTAATATGTCAAAAGAAGATTTTTTTATCACATCCTCCCAGACTCACTGTACATACAGAAGAGGTAAGCTGCAGTCATACATGGTTGCCATTGAGAAAATACTGGCAACAGAAGGGACATTGAAGAGTTTGTCCTCCCACTGCCTCACAGCTATAGCTGCAGAGTACAGAGGATCCAGGTATGGAAGCTAGCAGATGCCCCAGAAGTGGGAGCAATCAATGATGCACTGGAGAGCAATAGGAGCTGATATCCTGCACTGCCCAGGTCAGGGCCCCAACTTGTCTTTTACTAAAAGCACACAGCACTTTTCTGTTTCTGTAAGTTTCTGTTAAACCAAGCACTGAATGGCCAGGTCTCTGTTCCCTCCAGCACTCCTGAGCACTATGAGTTGAAGCTGCACTCCTTCATCTACCCACCTGGGCATTCCCAGGCTGTCTCATCTGCACTCCCCCAAAACCAGGGCAATCCTCCTGACCAGCACTAGCTTATTGTAGGCCAAACAGCAAAGAGGAGCTTATTCCCACTGTCACTGTGGGAATGGCTCTTTGATCACATTGTCTGTGCAACATTTGCTTCCTCCCTGACCAGGGAGGGAGCCTCCCTGGCTCAGGGTCTGAAAAAATCGTGGCTGTTATGAGTCTCATGCCTTAAATGAGCTAAGACTAAAGGCATGAACAGTTTATTTTCTACCATGTGATTCTGTTAATCAACTTGTCCTCCAGTGCTACTCTGATAAATGCCTGTTTGGACACTTGCCATTAACCTTCATTTTCTCGCAAAATCCCCCCAAAGAACTTATTTATCAAGGATTAAAGCTTGAAGGATAAATTATTCCTTCCCATAGACACAAGAACTGTTCTGCCTGGCTGACCTCCCCAGCAGAGCACCAGACAAAACGTCAGGAAGACAAAGCAGGCAGGAATGAGAATAAGTCGTTCAGTTCTGCTGAAAATCACTATGCGGAGGATGATTCCTGGGACATGAAGACAGGGGACCACAGCGTCTCACAAGGTCTCAGGAGAAGAGGTCACAAAAACCACTGAGTAGATTTCTCCGTGCTGCTTTGCAGGGTTTACTGCAGCGAGATTTGCTTGACAGATTTGTCAAACAGGGAAACATGTCCACCAAACAGTGGACAGCAGCTTACTACTGTCTGGCCTCCTCTGCCTTGATCAACTGACATCAAGTGAGTGTGGTACATTTTCTGCTCTCAGCTGTAAGTTAGCTTATGAGTCACGCCAATCACATCAAATGACCCATGGCATCCATTTCTGAGGAACAGGAGGAATGGGAGCCGCTTTACTGAAGCCTGGGATAAGGGATTGAATGAACCTTCAGGTCTTATTCCAATTTCTCTGGTTGAGGGCTTGCAAACTACACCACTAAATAGAAGATGGATTATTCCAGAGCACAGTGCCCCTTTTATTTGAGAGATCCAACCAGCTAGCAGGATGGGAAAGGCACGTTTCAGAGCTGCACACGGGATTTTAGCAAGCTATGATACTGCTGTGAGTTTTGTGCCATCCAAAACAGCAAATCTCACAGACACAGCATGATGTCTTCACTGCCCTGCCATGCATGCCACTCCACTGGAACTGCCTAGCAGATCACCAGCAGTCTCAAGGGAGGGATGCCAATACATCTATTTTCCAAGTTAAAGGTTAACAAGAAAAATAGAAGAGCTTTGATCATATTTGTTTTCTTTTCTGTTCACTTCACCAGAGCTGTGCTGTAAGAACTAGTTGATGATGTAGGAAGTTAGTCCATGTAGTTCCATTTGTTTTTT